CATCCTGAATTTCATTTTCCCCAGCTCCATGTATGACATGAGGAGAGTCAATGTACAGTTTATGCAAATCCGGCAAAAATAACAGTCTAATGCTACCGTTTCTGTATGTTTCCGAGTTTTCCGATTCTCTCTGAGCTATCTGCAACGCATCTCCGACTTCAATTCCTTCTTCCGGTCTGCAATCCACGTCACGCCAGCCCGACTCGCTCAATCCAGCCCGGACGTTGCATTACCGCCTACTAGCCTACTGGATAAATAATAAAACCGCCCTTTCTTCGTTACTGTACTGTACTTATACATCTTTCTGGTATCAATACTTCACTTCGTACTCCACTACTTATTGTTCTGAGGACTTTTTACTTTTACTTCTTACATTTGTAACACAAATACCTGTAATTTCTACTTCTTACATTATTAAAACAGGTTTGTTACTTTAGTTTTAATCTGTATTTGGTGGCATGATCATTATTATTTAGAGTCTTCAGCGTTGCTGACATTAACAGTTTCTAATAATAGGAAAAACAATAATATGAAAAGTGTTAAAGTTTATTGAAATGGTAAAACACAGTGGAATATTTTCTTTTTAAAGACAGAAACTTAAGAAACTATTAAGGTGAAGCTTAATCTAAGACGATAAAGGACTGTTTATTTACTGTCTGCTGCATTCGACACGGTGAATCATCAGATCCTCCTTCGCACTCTCCAAAAACTTGGAGTTTCTGGCTCTGCACTTTCCCTCCTCACCTCATACCTGAAAGACCGTACCTACAGGGTGACTTGGAGAGGGTCTGAGTCCGACCCTTGTCAATTAACTACGGGGGTCCCTCAGGGCTCTGTTCTTGGTCCCCTCCTCTTCTCCTTGTACACAAACTCGCTCGGATCAGTCATTAGCCCGCATGGTTTTTCTTACCACTGCTACGCTGACGACACCCAATTAATTCTGTCCTTTCCCCGCTCAGAGACCCAGGTCGTCGCACGCATCTCTGCTTGTCTAGCTGACATCTCTCAGTGGATGTCTGCTCACCACCTCAAGCACAACCTTGACAAGACTGAGCTGCTCTTCCTCCCGGGAAAAGATTGTCCAACTCTTGACCTGAAAATCAACATCGGCACCTCAGTTGTTTCCCCGACTCAGACTGCAAGGAATCTGGGTGTGACCCTAGATAACAACCTGTCCTTCACTGCAAACATCGCTGATACAACCCGCTGCTGCAGATACACGCTTTACAACATCAGGAAGATACGTCCCCAGCTGACTCAGAAAGCGACTCAGGTTCTGGTCCAGGCTCTCGTCATCTCACGCCTAGACTACTGCAACTCCCTCCTGGCTGGTCTACCTGCATGTGCCATCCGACCTCTGCAGCTCATCCAGAATGCAGCGGCTCGTCTGGTTTTCAACCTTCCTAAATTCTCCCACACCACTCCGCTCCTCCGCTCCCTTCACTGGCTTCCGGTAACTGCTAGAATCCACTTCAAGACACTGGTACTTGCTTACCGTGCTGCGAATGGATCTGGCCCTTCCTACATCCAGGACATGGTTAAACCGTACACCCCAGCGCGTGCACTACGCTCTGCATCAGCCAAACGACTCGTTGCGCCCTCGCTGCGAGGGGGACCCAAGTTCCCATCGGCGAAAACACGTGGGTTTGCTATCCTGGCTCCAAGATGGTGGAATGAGCTCCCCATTGACATCAGGACGGCAGATAGCTTGCACATCTTCCGGCGCAAACTGAAAACTCATCTCTTTCGACTCCACTTCGAGCGTTAGAACGATTAACGAAGCACTTTTATACCAATAAAGGACTGGATTACCTAAAGCCAGTTGAGTAGCACTTGAAATGTTTGGCTCTATGAAACCTGATATACTTATATGATTCTGTTTTCTTCAAGGTTGTGTCTTCCTGGTCGAATGTACTTATTGTAAGTCGCTTTGGACAAAAGCGTCAGCTAAATGCAATGTAATGTAATGTAATGTAATTTACCAGATCATCCCCTCAAACAGGTTGTGAATGATGAGGTGAGACTGAGTCACCATGATCAGCAGAGTCACATGAGCCCAACCAAACTGTGGAGACAAAAAACATCATTAGGAAAATATGTTTACAATAATTTGCCTGACAACCAACCCAATTATATTCACGAGTGTCCTTGTTACAAATATGTATTGATAGATTTGATGATGGTACAAAAACATTATGATGTAAGTATTTTTTTTGTTTTGTTTGTATTGCTCCGCTTGCAAGGTTGGATGAACCTTTATCAAACACTTCTTTTTTTGAAGGTATCACAGTTTCTTTCTTGTTAATTTACAACTTTATGAGTTATCTCCCAGACTAATACGCCCTTCCGCTGGCTTTTAACCAACATAGGCCCTCAAACACTGTGATATCCTTCTCTATGTGAACATAGAACCTGGATTATGACCAAAATCACAGGAGTGATGTGTCGTGTACGCTGAGTTGATCTCATCCGCTTCACAAATGTTGTCTTAGATGATTGCTTTCCCTTTGATTTAACAGGCACTGATTTTTCTGCTTGAATATTTCTGTCTGTGAAAGACTTGAGCTAAGTTCACAAGTGTTTAAATCTGCAGGGTATCTTCCAGTCGTCTTATTAATAAATGTCAGACTTGCAGTGTGGTATAAAAGGCAAAATAACAAAAGTGAGTCTCTTTCTCTTTTCTGACTTTTTTTTATGGGTATTTTACTTTATATTAAATACATAACAATAACAGTGCAGAACATCTAACCTCACTATGAATCCAGAACAATACACCTGCAGGAGTATGGATAAAGCGAGAGGTTTGCATGCATTTTGAGCCGATTTGGGCAGAATCCAGCAGAGTGGATCGTGATGTTCATCCTAATGTCTATGTAAAGAAAAAAAGTCTAAATATTTAAAGATAAAAGCTGTGAAACAATCTCAATAATTGGCAGCATGCTGAGATAGGAAGTTTTAATATCTTAAGAGAAGAGCTTGGATATTAAAAGATACAAAATCCAAACTCTTTTGGCTCCTTCCTGTCTTTCTACTGGGTCTTTCTTGGCTTTGTACTGGCTATCTTCTAGCTCTATTCAGGTTTTAGGAGTTTCTTTCTAGCTCTGTCCCTGATCATTTTCAGAACCTGAAGGCTCTATACGGACTATCCTCTGGTTCTTTTCTGGATCCATCCACTATCTCGTCTCTGTCCAGTGAATTACACTTGTGTTACTGGAGCAGGTAAAGCATACAACAGATACTTTCAGCATTATCGGAGCACAAAGTGGAAGCTTGGATGAAACACAGCGGACTTCTAAACAATGAACACCCGCAACTTAGAAGAAATAAAGTTGGGTTTTATGTGTTCTAATATTGCAATGCAAACCCATGATGTAATGACAGTAATTAAGAATAGTTTAGTCATTGAATGCTCATTTCAGTAGATTTAATCAAACAAAACATGAAGATATTGGACATGGCCTCAAGACTGTAACCTCTTCACATTCTGTTGAAATAGTCAATTACTAGCCATATCTTACACATTGCTGTTTTGAATCATTAATATGTGGATGACAGTTGAACTGGAAAATGTAACATGTGTGCCACCTGCTGGAAAAAAGACGTATCGCTCTTTTGGCGTCGTTTGGTCAACAAAAACAGAGTTAAACTCTCATTTCATAAACAATCTTTGAGTACAGACACCGTCCTGCAGAGAGCACACAACCCAACAGCACGTTTTTGGTCTAGCATCACTTTACAAAACGTTTGCATTAAGACACTAAGACTAGCTGGTCCATTGTAAAGGTCAGTCCACCTTAAATGAGCAGTGGGTGATCAGCAGGGGAAAGGCAGGACACAGGAACTTGGTCCTGAGGAGATGTAACAATTATTAAACAAGAAAGTTGTCGAGTCAAGGGGTCAAATAAATAAACATTTGTGATTATTAACGAATCGGTTGCAGGCTGGTGAAATCAGGCTTAGGGAGTAACTAAAACCAAAACTAAGGAGCTCATTGTTGATTTCAGGAGGACAAAAAAAGGAAGTCCCCCTCCACAGAGAAGCAGTGGAGAGCGTGGAGGACCTACGGTTCCTTGGAGTCAACATCTCCAATCATTTAACTTGGACCTCAAACCTGGTGAAAAAGGCACAGCAGAGACTGTTTTTCCTGAGGAAACTGAGACAGGCCAGGCTTCCACAAAAACTGCTGGTAAACTTCTATCGGTCGACTATTGAAAGCACCCTGACCAGCTGCATAACTGTGTGGTACACCAGCTGCACAGCCACAGAGTGGAAGGACCTGCAACGGGTGGTGAAGGCTGCTCAGCGCATCGTTGGGACTGAGCTGCCCAACCTTGACAACATCTACAAAAGTCGACTGCAGAAGAAAGCCAGCAGTATCATCAGAGACGTCACTCAGCCCGGCCACTCACTGTTCGAAACGCTGCCGTCCGGCAGACGGTTCAGGTCAATAAAATCACGCACCAACAGACTGAAGAACGGCTTCTTTCCCAGAGCTGTGGCCTCCATCACTTCCATCCCTGTCCAGCCAAAAAACTCACTATAACTTTGAACATGCACACATACAAACACACTACCTCCCATCAAAGACTGTAGCCAAAAATATCATATTATTTATCTGTATATTTCTTAACTATCAAATTGTAGCTTTTCAAGTGGCAAGGGGCGTTATGTATGAATGCAGCATGAGTGCTCGAGTTGACTGCCTGAACCAGCTCGCAGGCTTCGCCCCATTAATCAGAAAATCAGTATGACAAAAACATTAAACATATTGTCCACTTATATTGATAAAGATAGAGTTTGTTTAAGTCTTATATGAATGCCGTGCAACAATGTTGATCCAGTCAGGCAGATTTTTTATCCTCAGTTTGAATTTCATTAAGCTTTGAGGACTGACAACCAACACACTTGTGTCTATTGAGACACATACGCCATTTAAATCTTTTGTCACAAACATTGCAGCTGTATATTTCCTCTCCTGTGTGGATTCTCTTGTGTTCCTTTAAAATTCTACTCCGTGAAAAAGCCTTCTTACAGACTGAGCAGCTGTATATTTCCTCTCCTGTGTGGATTCTCATGTGTTCCTTTAAAATTCCACTCCGTGAAAAAGCCTTCTTACAGACTGAGCAGCTGTATGGTTTCTCTCCTGTGTGGATTCTCATGTGTTCCTTTAAACTTCCACTCCGTGAAAAAGCTTTCTTACAGACTGAGCAGCTGTATGGTTTTACTCCTGTGTGGATTCTCATGTGTCTATCTAAAGTTCCACTCAATGCAAAATATTTGGTACAAACTGAGCAGCTAAAGGGTTTCTCTCCTGTGTGGACTCTCATGTGTCTTTTTAAACTTCCACTCTGGGAAAAATGTTTCTTACAGACTGAACAGCTGACTGGTTTCTCTCCTGTGTGGATTCTCATGTGTAGCTTTAACTCTATATTCTGTGAAAAAGCTTTCTTACAGACTGAGCAGCTGAATGGTTTCTTTTCAGCACTCCGTTGTGGATCACTGACAGATTCATGTCTATTTTTCAGTAAGTTTGAGCCTGATGCAGGTTCTCTGGTCTCCTTCCAATCAGCACTGTCTTCAGTGTCAGGTTCAGAAGAGTCTCCAGTGTCAGGTTCAGAAGGGTCTCCAGTGTCGTCCTCAGTCTTTGGTTGTAAACTGCTCTCTGGATCTGAGTTCCTGGCTGGTTCTGGTCCTCGACAGTCATCTCCATCAGCTTCTGTTTCCATGTGTTCAGTTTGTCTTTGATGAGGCTGTGAGGACTGAGGTTTCTCTTTATCATCTGCACTCTTCACAGGGTCAGGAGTGAAGGTGGACTTGGTGATATCAGCCTCCTCCAGCTCCTGAAGCTGCTCTCCCTCCTGACTGATCCTGAGTCCCTCCTGTTCCTGCTTAATGTGTGTGGGGGGCTCTGCGTCCTCCTGGTCCAGACTGGTGCTCCATTCCTGCTGGTCAGGGGGAACCTCTTCTTTAACCGCCACCAGCTGCTGGACGTCTGCAGGAAACAGGAAACACAGTCAGAAAAAAACTGTAAGTGTTAGCATTTAAAAATCTAATCACCATTCAAACGGGAGACATTTTTCAGCCCTAATAATGCCTTTATTTGTATACTTTAATATTATCTTTCTTAGTCCCACGTATTGTGTATTTTTGGTGGCTCAATTCACCTCACGTAGCACAGCCCCATTCCACTTCCAGTTAAAAATGAAAAGGGGTTATACAGACTATACAGAAAAAAACATGTTTCTACCCCTGGCTCCATACATTTGTATTATCGATATAGTTAGATTCCACCTTCATGATTATGGATCTGTAAGTGAATTGTTTTCTAATACGACCCTTTTATTTATATTAGGTATTAAAGTTTTTGCATAAATCAGGGCGTGGTCACTTTGATGGACAGGCACGTGCCTCACTGTCAGCTAACAGCAACTTGTCCACTCTGCTAGGCTACAACCATAGAGGCTACAACGTTAGTTAGTCGTAGTTACTGTACTTGACCCTTTAGCTTTAGCCGTGATTGTGGGAATATTGTTACAAATACCAGACAATTAAAATGTCGTGCTGTGCGCTTGAATGTACTAACAGAACTTCCAAGAAGTCTACTCTCAGCTTTTTTCGGTGAGTAAAATGATAATATTATACATGTTAACCCCGTTAGCAGGTGTTTGTGTGCTTGTTAGCTTAGCTTGTTGTGTAGCTTATTAGCCAGCTAAGGACGTAACCCTTTATACATGTGTGTATATATATATATATATATATATATATATATACAGTTTAGTTTATGATTCAGCCTTGGGTAAGACTTTTATAGTCTATGGCTATGACGCCCATAATGCTAAATGGGAGTTAAAAGGGGACCCAATTATCCCAGTGGTGGCCGCCGGAGTCCGCCGCCGAAGCTAACCGGAGCCGTAGCTAGCCCTTTGCGGCTCCGTTAGCTTCGGCCAGCGGCGGAGCCCGGCGTTATAACTGGAGATCAAGGAATGCAGCGAAACGCGGAATTGGTTCGCCTGCAGCCTTCTATAGTATTAGCTAAAGAAATGATGTTGAGCAAGGCTTATTAAGCTGAACATCGCCACAATTGTTCTGCTATGTATCGGTACTTATTTTATTTTCTTAACGTGTGAATGACAAGCATTAAGAATAACACCAAATAGCTATTTATCTTGCATATTGTCTCGTTTGATTATGAATGTAACGTTTATATAGTGGAACTACACTGTTTTATCAAAACCAAAGTGCCACGCAGTAACTTGGTAGGCCCATGCATGTATTTCAGCAGGAAATGTGCAACCTAGATGACATTTACCAACACAGACTATATAGAAATATTGGTAACAGTTGTTCATGCGTTATTAAGTGAATATGGCATTAACCCTCCTGTTGTCTTTTGGGTCGGTTTTCATGTATTTTTGAATAAAGGTTTCCTTTAGGTGATCCAGACAGGCTGGACCAGTGGGTGCTGAACATCAGCAGGAATAAATGGACCCCCAACGTTTCTTCTCGCCTGTGCAGTGAACACTTTGAGAGTCATCACTTCAGCACGGACTCATGGGTACAGATCCTTTTTTTTTTTAAATAACTTGGTTCCATTTGTGAGTGTAAATTGTTGTTACTAATTAAATACATGTTATACATCATACAATGCTAAATAATTGTTATGGCACAGCTTGCACATCAGTGATGAGTAATGTTCTTTTGATTAAAGGCCAAATTAAGATTTTTCCAGTTAAGTATAGAAACATAGAAATCGAATATCTTTGCAAACCATCACATTTCTCTTCAATTTATGCAAATACTCTTTATCATAGATAGAGAATTGCCATTTTCCCCCACATACTCTATGTTAAAAACAGATGAATTATATTACCTTTTTTTACATTATTTTAATAGCAACATTCATTCATCTGTTGTCATCTTATAACTTATTTATCTTAACAGCTATCACTGTAAAAAAAAAAGGATTTAATTTCATTTTACTATACAATATTTATCTTTACATTCTGTTCTTGCATATGTCTTATTATATTTACGTGTATATAGATTTCTGCCTGCACTCATTTATTATTCTTAAGTTAATTTTGAATTTATTTTATTGTTTTATGTCCTATATAACTATGTTGCATTGTTGGAGGAGCTCGGGACAGATGATTTTCATTGCCATTCCTACACTGTAGCCTATGTGCATATGACATAAATCCTTTGAATCTGAATCTTGGAAACATTTAATTGTTGAATGGATTAACTGCACAGTTAACATGTTGGCCCTCTATTGTCTTTTATAATGCACTCTTAAATTTAAAACAACATTATTCAAAAGAAAGTTGAATATCTACAGACCTCAAAAAGTTATTTTATGTGTTTTTGTTTATTATTTTTATTAGGGAAGGAGATGCCTGAAAAACACTGCAGTGCCCACCATTTTCTATTTCACCAATGGCAAAGAACAACAGCCTAGAAGGAAAAGCAGGGTGAGTAACAATGACGAGGTAAGTGACAGTCCTAGTTCGACTGTTAACAGCAATGAGGAGGTTGCAGATGTAGACCATGGTAGTGGTGAAAACAGTCTTGCTGCTGATCAGAGCAATATCATTATGATACAAGACACACCTGAAGAAGCCTTTGTTGTTCCACATGTGGAGCATAATGACATTCCAACAGTGAATGCTTGTGAGGATGTTGGTTTGGGTAGCAGCAGCCAACAAACAAAACAAATTGGAAAGCAGGCAGACTCCGCCTCTGTTCACTCTTACACTTGGGCTTTAAACTAAGACGGGTCATACTGAATAGTTTGTGCACACATTTTTAACATGTGATCTTTCTTTCATGTAGGACGCTTGAGGGAAGCTGCAACGCCTCGGCCAATGTGATGTCTTCTCCACGTGAAAGAGATTGAAGGCATAATTTATAACTACATTACATTACATTACATTGCATTTAGCTGACGCTTTTGTCCAAAGCGACTTACAATAAGTACATTCGACCAGGAAGACACAACCTTGAAGAAAACAGAATCATATAAGTACATCAGGTTTCATAGAGCCAAACATTTCAAGTGCTACTCAACTGGCTTTAGGTAATCCAGTCCTTTATTGGTATAAAAGTGCTTCGTTAATCGTTCTAACGCTCGAAGTGGAGTCGAAAGAGATGAGTTTTCAGTTTGCGCCGGAAGATGTGCAAGCTATCTGCCGTCCTGATGTCAATGGGGAGCTCATTCCACCATCTTGGAGCCAGGATAGCAAACCCACGTGTTTTCGCCGATGGGAACTTGGGTCCCCCTCGCAGCGAGGGCGCAACGAGTCGTTTGGCTGATGCAGAGCGTAGTGCACGCGCTGGGGTGTACGGTTTAACCATGTCCTGGATGTAGGAAGGGCCAGATCCATTTGCAGCACGGTAAGCAAGTACCAGTGTCTTGAAGTGGATTCTAGCAGTTACCGGAAGCCAGTGAAGGGAGCGGAGGAGCGGAGTGGTGTGGGAGAATTTAGGAAGGTTGAAAACCAGACGAGCCGCTGCATTCTGGATGAGCTGCAGAGGTCGGATGGCACATGCAGGTAGACCAGCCAGGAGGGAGTTGCAGTAGTCTAGGCGTGAGATGACGAGAGCCTGGACCAGAACCTGAGTCGCTTTCTGAGTCAGCTGGGGACGTATCTTCCTGACGTTGTAAAGCGTGTATCTGCAGCAGCGGGTTGTAGCAGCGATGTTTGCAGTGAAAGACAGGTTGTTATCTAGGGTCACACCCAGATTCCTTGCAGTCTGAGTCGGGGAAACAACTGAGGTGCCGATGTTGATTGTCAGGTCAAGAGTTGGACAATCTTTTCCCGGGAGGAAGAGCAGCTCAGTCTTGTCAAGGTTGAGCTTGAGGTGGTGAGCAGACATCCACTGAGAGATGTCAGCTAGACAAGCAGAGATGCGTGCGACGACCTGGGTCTCTGAGCGGGGAAAGGACAGAATTAATTGGGTGTCGTCAACTAGACAATTTTCCAAAAGTTATGACTTTTATTGGCTTAGGCAGTAATGGATTACATCTAACACGAATCAAGATCGCATAGAAAAAAAGGAAAGTGTAATCGTTAGTGACATAGGAAAAGATGTAATCGGATTAGTTTGACTTTTTTTAATAATAGGGAAACTCAGGATTACAATCTTATTCAAAACCTAAAAAGAGCATATAGTGTTTGTTGTAAAAAGATCAAATTGTATCTCTTCTCTGGAAGCGGTACTGTTCTGTAGGCTAATACTTTAATTGTGAATCTATACACCTACTGCCTGAATCTGCTTTATGGTATTATATTATACATTTAAGTAAAAAAATCATATTAATATTTCTTCTCTCCTGTGTTTATTTGCATTGCATTTGATATTGAGGTAATCCAAAAGAAAAATAAAGTTATCAGGTTACATTACTTTTATATCTTGATACTCACATTAAGTTACTGGTTGTGTTTTTGGCAAGTAGCCCTCCCAACCCTGAACATAAGTTATATCATTTTAATTACCGATACAGTTGTTGCACATCTTTAATTTATTTTCTAGTGTACTTAAGTCATAAAATTATTCTTTACTTTTCATAAAATGCAAGATGTAACTTTCAATGTGGCTTCTGTATTTATCACATTTTCAATGTGAAATAGATCTGATTAAATACAGAGTAAAAGCACAATCTTAAATGTCGACATTTATCATTTTCCTATGCTTATTGTTAATGTAGTGGTGTTATAAACAAAATGTTGTCGTAAAGGAAATTAAGATGTTTTTTATTTGTTGACAAAAGATTTAAAGTTGATGCTCACAACATGTGGGAACATTTATGGAGAAAAATGTTTCTATTGTAAAACAAATATTTATCTGCATACTGAACAATTTCGAAACTCTCTAAAAGGTATTATCTTTTGTGATGTTACGACCCTGTTGGGATTGTGGGTATTGCACTTCATAATTACATTCTATGGTATGCTTATGACATATTTGATGCCAAAACACATGGGATTAGGGGAGACCTTCTTGTTGTTTGCATTGTCACTGATAAATGACAGCGTTTCATTCATTGTCAAGATTTTGTGTTTTTAAACTTGGGACTCTTTTCAGACTGCTACGGCTTGGGAAAAGATTTGAGCCTTAATGTGTAATGTTTTCTGTATTGTATGGTAAGCTTATCCTTTCATTTGATAGTCCCATTTGGATGTGATAGCTAACATTTTCAGTAAGCAGTAGACAAAAGAAGTGAAAATATGAATGTAATTTATTTTCAATATTTACATAAATACAGAATTATTTTAACAAATAAACAAAAAACATCATAACAAATACAAAATAAAAGGTTTGACAGACAGCCATGCCCAGCATGGGCCTGGAGAGCTACAGAGTCCATTGGGGGAAGAGGGGGGGGTGGGATGTGGGGAAGAGGAAGAGCAGCCATGTTAACAGTGTTATGGCTACAGATGTAATATCTAACTCAACATTAGCCATGACAGTCTGGGCTTAGCAAGGGCCTTAGAATACATACTCTAAAGGCCAAATCCAAAAACAGTGATACTGACATTTTAGCAGTTCACAGTCTTTGGAGGTGGTCTTTCAGGCAATTGGCTAGTGACTTTAAAAAAATATCATTTCCCCTAGGGGTGAAATGAACTCTATCTCGCAAAAAAAGCCCAGGACTGTCATGTCTAATGTTGGAGTGGTCAACAATGACACCATTTAGGCTATGAACAAAAGTAGCCATAACACTGTTAACAAACTTCCGGGCCTTGTCAATTTTGACAGCATTTGCACCAGCCCTCCACAGGCGCCTCTGGTTGATCTGGGAGAGCATGATCTTCATGCCAGGGTGCCGATGGTGAAGCTGGTGCAGGTCCTCCTTCATCTGGTTCAGCAACTGAACACTGGGCACATCCCCCAAGTCACAGTGGATGAGGAGGACATCCGGGACTGCTATTCCTCGCAGGGAGTAGGAAAAGAAAGGGAGGACACCTCTCCAGCGCAGTCCACCCCAACTGAACCAGCACACCCTCAGGTCGAGGCCAAGGTTGCTGCCGATGGTCTCTGTAGCTCTCTGGGCTCCACGCCGGACGTAGCTGTCTCCGATTATCCATACAGTCACTATGGGAGGAAAATAAATGAGTGTAACAAATGCTTCAGATAATGAGGAATATCAAAGTAAGTATAAAGGGTTGCTCATGTTGTTCCTTTGACAATAACATACAAAATAACTATGAAATCACACCTGTATGGTTAAAAGTAACAAGAGAGCAAAACCTCAAAAAACAGATTAACAGCACACAGTTTATATATATATATATATAAATATTTATATACTGCGTGCTGTTTATCTACAATTGTGCACACATGTATATATATATATATACACACACATATATGTATAGTATGTTTGTGTGTAATGTCAACCATCTGAAGTCATGTAAAGTAAGCCAGGACCATCAACTTACAGGTTGTGCAGTTTGGCGTGGAGGAGGTTGCCATCTTCTTTTTTCTTAATGCTGAAAGAAATAAAAATGGTTTAATCAATATAAAAGCACCTTTCTTTTTCTACAGTCATATTTCATTCATTACATTTAATTCATGCAACACTGGCCATATCTCTGCTAGTTTACAAAGTTTAGTTACAAATGACATTTATATTTGAAAAACGGTGAAGCACTTAAAAAACAATTGTATAGTGTAGGTTCAAGAACATTTAAATCAAAAGGACAAGTTTTGTAAAGTTACAGGGTATCTTACCTTCAGAATATGCCGGGAACGAGGAGCAGTGACCGCAAGCTGGGTTGTTAGCATAGGCAGGGTTGTTAGCATAGACTGTGTTGTTAGCTTAATACTGAGAGCATGTTAGCTTAGCTTCTTAGCCTGAGCTAGGTCTGGAACATCACGCTCGTTGGCAGCAGGTCCCGCCCTGTCCCGCCTCGGCTCCGCCTCTTTGCCCTTATTTGGAGCAGGCGGGAGTTAGACTCTGACGTCACTGTCGAGCCGTTAGTGGCCGACTCCGCCTACTAAGGGCTTCACGGCAACTCTGCAGAATCCTATGGGTGACGTCACGGACCCTACGTCCATTTATATATACAGTCTATGGTTTTAACACAACCGGCAGTTAAAAGAAAAGTGGACGAGCCGTCGACAAGTCTTTCAGCTTTAATGCCAAAATCAACAAAGTGTGATGAGGCATATATCTCCCTTGACATCTAACGTGTTTGGTGCAGAGATCTCTCTTTCTCTCTCTCTCCTCTGTGTGGGGGGCGGGGCATCTCGCTCACAGACGATGTGGTCAATGCTCGTTTGCCATAAGTATTTTCACGGAAACACGAGCAATCTCTCCGTCAGCTGGCCAAAAGGCATCATATTCATACGGAGAAATGCACCGTTTTCAACTTCCTTAACTCGGAGTTCTGTTGCCCCAATTACGTGTAAGGTGGGAGAAGTACTCAGAAGGAGGCCCGGACTGGCTATCGGGAGGACCGGGAGGTTTCTCGATGGCCTGGCCTGTTGAGTGACCTGCTGATTTTTTAAATGTTTTATTAATATATTGTGAACGCAACGCTGTGGGTTTTCCTCACACAGGGTGACGTCTGTCTAAATTATGTGGCCTGCCGACATGGCCTATCCCATACCGATCATAAATCAGGGTGTGTGTATGTGTGGCGCGAGCGAGAGAGAGCGAGAGTGTCCACCGGTTACTTGTAATTTTGTTGTTAGCATCTGGTTAGTGTTAGAAATTAAAATCAATGTTTTGATGGCATAAAGTACCTTAAATGTACCTTCAGTTTAAATGCTGTTTTATACTGAAAAACCAGAAAATTATTGTGCACAACCAGTTAAGCTTTTATTCTGAAAATCCGTCATCTCCGGTTAGCATGTGGCTAGTTTACCATTTCTTATAGAGGTTAATTTAGTAGCGAAATGACATGGAGTGATGCACACCGAAACCTACTGATTTTAACACTGCAACTATAGAAGTATTATTATTGCTGAATATTAAATGAAGGTATAGTTTCTTTGAATAAAGTTATTGTTTACAGACGTGGGTAAGATGTGACAACATCCGGAATGACCAGAAACCAAACCAGCCGTGAAGTATTTTCTAGAATATTAACTACAACGTTTAGAATGTGTTAAAGGAAAAGTGATGAAAGACAATATGAGGAGAAGAGTCGTGTTTAAGTATATATTGAATGTACAAAGCCTGAATCCTCTGTTTAACGTAACAACGGACATTAAGATGTGGAGGGCCGACCCGCAGGGAGGAGCCTACAGAAGCTATATAAGAGCAGCACCTGAGCGGTTCGGCCTCTTTTCTCTGCTAGCGAGGGCCAGAGACAGCTGCTTTTCTGTCGGACAATATCCTGTTTGTGACTGTACCACGCTTTTTATTAATTAAAGTACCAATTTGAAAACATCTCAGAGACTCCATTTAGTCTCCTTTTTAAGCTTCTCTTTCCTGGACGCGAGAATAACCATCACAGTTAACAATTGGTGCTCCGCGACGTGATTCTCGTTGGACAGAAGAGACTACACAACCAGCTGTTTTCCGGAGACGCGGCTTCCGTTCGACACAACGAGCTCGAATACTTGGTAAGAGGAAACCTGTTAAATCAAATTCTTCATAGTTTATGCAGTACAAAATAGGTTTGTGTTGGACGGAGGCCAGCGGATCCTGAAAATAGCTGTGTATTTAATGTCAAAACAACCAAATTTATAACAATAAGAATTCCATAACACATGGCGTTGCATTTTCACAATCAGGGTGAGTTCCAATTTCTTTTTTTCTTATATCTAACCCTGCATGCTATTAATTTGTGTGTGTGTAGTATTTTAAAATATAAATGTGTGAGGCCATTGTACTTTGGGTAGGTGTCTTGTTGTGTTTTCATGTAGGTGTCTCTGGTTACGTCAGTAGTTAAATTAGCCTATGACGTAAGGATATATAAGTCCATTTAACGATTATTGTTAAGATCTGTGGGACATAGCGAATTGATTAGGGATCAAGTAATTGAAAACAAACAAGGCATAGCGAATCAACTTAGGGTTGAGTAACTGAAGACAGTGTTAGTCGAAAACAGTTGAGAACTGTTTTAAAAAAGTCCTTTTGAGGAAAGGCTTGATTAAGGTGTAAGCTTTATCAGTGGTCATAACTGTTCTAGTTTCAACCAAGATATTGCGGGTGGAATACGAGATGTGGAGTTACAACAGCATTACGTTAAATTGACGACGGTCATTTAATAGTCGCTGATAAGTTACCATAATACTCCCACCTAGCGTGTCGAAATGGCAGCAGTTGACCAATAGTGGACTATAAAGTCAAATAATACGTAGATAGGTTTATAGCTTATGCGTAAGGGTTCCTAACTTTAAGTGATGATATCAATAAGATAAAGCCCATTTTTTTCATAGTAAACTAGATAGAAATGTTATTTTAAACTGCAGTGTTGTTTTGTGTTCAATTTTCTTGACAAGATTACACCCCGCCATTATTTAAACTCCCCTCTGAGAGCCACGAGGTGTTTTCAAATCCCTTTGTTCTTCAGGTCAAAGGTTGGAAAATCAGTTGCCATCTTGTCTTGTCCTCATGCTGAAAATAAGCCACACGGCAGTCGCCATTTCGTGAAATGCTAATTGAAAGTACTCTGTTTGTTTTGACACACAGTCCCACTCACATGAGGCTAGGCACTCCATATTGAGAAGGACAAATCATATTTATTGGCAGAAGTTGGAACTATAAAATAGACAGGTTATCTTACCGTGGGAAGTTTGGTATTTGTAGGAGTCTGGTTTTGAAAATATTGTTGTTTGCAAGTGCGTATTGGCGGTTTATTTGAGATATTCTTGTTTGCAAGTGTGTATTGGCGGTTTATTTGAGATATTCTTGTTTGCAAGTGTGTATTGGCGGTTTATTTGAGATATTCTTGTTTGCAAGTGTGTTTTGGCGGTTATGTGCTGTGTTGTTTAACCATATTCACATTTTCTTCCCATTTTTAAGGAAATAAGCTTCTTCTTGTTAAAAAGAGGTCAGTTTTGCAACAGCTATCCCTAGTGGATTAAGCTGGAAATTACAACAGCGCACTCTGCTGGTAATACAGAATTATTACAAAGATATTATAACATTTTGAAGCTTAATTTTGAGTGTTATTGATGAACACATTCGCCGGGACAGAATTACAAAGTGGTTTCTAATTAACATATGAGAAACTTTACATCATAGACTTTCAAACTAGACTGTAGAATATTCAAACACCAATTGATTAAATCTAACACAAATTATGACATTTACATAGTTCCATACATTTCAGTATGCACTGTACACAGTAGATTTAGATTTTCACAAGACTTCGATTTTCTTATCTCAAAGTCAAAAACGATACACTGTACAATTTTTATTTTAAAATTTCAAAAAAATGTTATCTTTTAATTTATTAATATTTTACAAAAAAAAAAAAAAAAAAACTTAAATCATAAAAAAAAATATATATATATTCTAAAAAAAAAAAAAAAAAAACCTACCCAGATTTAAAGTTAAGTTCGGATGACATAGGATATTATTTATCAGGAACGAAGGTGCTAGTCGGAGGATTAGTGTTTCAATCTTTGATAACTTAATAATATTCATTCGAATAGTTAGAGAACATGTCACCAAAAGAAACTAAATTGAGACTAGACGCAGAGCCAGGCTCAACCGCAGATATCAAGGAAAGGGTAATAATCTGATCAGATGCTTTAACCTTTCCAATTAAAAGAACTATCTGGAGTGAAGATGAAGAAAGATTTATAAGAGTTACAAGTCTGATACTCCATCTGGAATATGCCAGCCTATTGGCACACAGCATAAATGTGGTCCGAGTAGCAGACCTGCCAGTGAGGGAAGACATAGCAGAAAAAACAAGACACCGTAGCTTGTAGGAACAAGACAAGGAGAAGGGAGGGGAAACTTCCAGAGAAGGCAGGGCAGACACCTCCAACAATTCAAGCTCAGGAAGAACCAGAGAATGCAGAGCAGACACCTCAAACAGTTAAATCTCAGATAGTGCCAGAGAATCAGATGCAGAACCAACAACCAGGAGGTTTCCAAGGAGGCACAGGCAGAAGACGTTTACGGTTTGAGGGATGTTACCATTGCAACCAAATGGGCCATTGGACCAGAGATTGCCCGCAACTACTAAGGCAACATGCACCAAACAATGGCCCTCCATGTAGTTACCCTGGGGGAGGTTTCCATGACTACGACAGAAGCAGGGGGTCTCAGGGATGTCAAAGACGAACAGCATTGCCAAACATGACCCAAATGCCACTGACACCCTGGTATCAACCACAACAATGAGGAAGCTCAGAGGGCCAGACCACCAGGTGATGCATCTTCAGCACAAGGGTATTTTGAAATCCAGCTACATTGAGCCATATATGTCACCACAGAAGGGAGAGGTTTAATGTTTAATGTAAAAACAGAATCGAGAGTAGCATTTGCATTTACACATAAAGCATCCACAGAATAGAACATTTAGCAGACTATTTTTGTAATTATGAGAAGGAAAGAGATTACGAGTGATGTTGTTCCCCCACACAGAAAACTATTGTGTCCACACAGCTAGTGAGGTCAAGACGATGGGGTTTCCACCCAAAAATATGAAGACGGAAACCTAGTACTCGCCCAAGACGGAGGATCCATACCAAATCCTCCTGTTTACACCGACTGCAGTTCAAGGGGCGGCGATACACCTGACGTGGAGCTGTTGAGACCTAAAAACAGAAACTCGCTTCTGCTGTGGTGAAGTCTGGCTACAAAGGGAGGTGTCCGATAGGGTCGCTTGTCTCAAACCAGTGAAGAAGTCAACAAGAACCCAGCAGAACTAGAGAGTGACTGTTAGCGGGAGAACAGTGACGGAGCGACAGAGACTGGCACAACATTTTCCAGCCAGTACATAGATAGACCCCGTCAGAAGACCGGGGCTGTGTTTAAAGGGGAACTTCATTTATTGTTAGTGGAAGTGTAGTTTTTTAGTCAAACAATTATGTGATTTATGGAGTCAGATTACATTTTTCTCAAACACAATTTTATAATCGGTCTGAAGTATCTGTTTTAAGGCAATGAGCTGCAGATTAAATAACATAACACTGATTGAGAGCTTGGATGAAGAAGTTGTAGGGTTTTAACAACAGTTTAAAGAATCAGTTTTTATTTATTTATTCTTGAGTAATTTTACTGATTTATAGTGTAGTGCGTAAGGCACTATCTCATTTTGAGTGAGGGGCACCAGCCCTTCATGCATGTCACCCTCTGTGAGAATGGTTCGTATGTTTCCCTCTAGTTTAGATAAATATTATTTTATCATATCTTTGTTCAGCAGTATCAAACAATCCTCTAATCCTAGAATTATTGAGACGCATTAGCGACACCAGGGGTATTGTTTTTCGCAGCAACAATGATGCATAATACCAGGACAAAAGCCATTATTGCAACATGTAAACCATTTTTGTGCTAATGGCAGATTTGAGTGAATATGTTTTTATACCATCAGAAAGCCACACATCATACGATATTTTGTACGCCTTATGGGTACACGGAGAAGTTATATTTATTTAATGCAACGTTATGGGTTTTACATGTCCTGTTCAGAATAGGGTAATCATTGCAATATTAATTGAGCATGTTCTGCTCAAAGGAGGGAGTGTCATGATTATACAGATATGTTGATTT